CTAAAGCAGATCTTTAAAACTCCAATGTCTACAGGGCCAGGCAAGTAATGTAAATGAAGGAAGCACCCCTTGATTAAGACATCAAGGAGTGGTGGAACACATTTCGAAGATCTGAGGAGGAACTCACAATAGCTTTAGCTGACTACTGCCATATGAGAAGATCCAATGATACCAGAGCTTTTGACTTTCTCAAGAGGTGCTAGACATTATGATTTTTTTCTGTGTAATTTCCCAAACACTATTAATGATATAGCAAAATATCTCTGTGGGTTGAATTTGACCTATGGGCAGCTAGTTTATAACCTGTGTTCTAAAGCTTTGCAGCAAAATAAATACCATGTGCAGGTTTCCAGGATTAGAAGAGCAAATAACCTGGAAAGCCAGCATGTAGACAGGGGCTGGGCCAGGAGACAGTGAAAAGGGTTTTAACTCTCAGTAGCAGAATGTCTAAAGGACTCAAGACCTCAGAGTTGGACATATCTGTACTGGAAAAATCAGAGGAATTCTGACAAAGTTCTACTGCAAGGAAGCACAGATGAAAGAAAACTAGAATATATAGAGGCCTGATCTGCTTTAAAAGAGGGGGTGGACATGATACACTCATACACACACAAGCTATTTCAACTCTCTGTGCCCTGATATCCTTATCATTAAAATACAAATAATAGAACCTACTTCACAGGGCTGTCATAAGGACTAAATAGAAAACTGTTCATGTAATTATCATTATCTCTTACAAGTAATGCTTAATAAATGTTAGCTATTATTTATTATTTTGAGGCACTGAGAGGAGAAGTAACATACTCAAGGTCACAGGGCTATTAAGGTATATTTCCTGGATGTGCAGCCAGTATGACAGCTTTAGATCCTGCGCTCTAAACCACCTTGCTCTTCTGCCTCCCCTGACCTTGCTGGGATAGTTTCTTCAGTTGTACAACAAGGAAGTCAGATCAGATGATAACTAAAGTCCCCTCTAGAGCTGACATTTTATTCTACCAGCTAGCCCTCTAATCAACTTATTTTAGGGCAGGAGCTGAGCACACAAGACCCTGCTTGCACTCCTACAAACTACCAACCTAAAGGAGAGAGCTACAGCTTAGGCTTAGGGTAAGCTCAAGAAGCCATTTCAGCAAGGAACAATCCATAGCTTAAGCCAGGAAGAAAAAAGTGTTCCGTGTAAGGCCCCCTTATTGATCTGTGAAGATTATATTTGTTTCTAGGAGACCAGCAGACCTCCCAAGTAGGCCCAGAATTCACTCACATGCCGAAGCTATTATAGGCTGAAAATTGCTTATAAGCCTGCTAAGGTACCACAGTAAGTTCTAAATCTAGAATTGTGGGGTCCCTGGGTGGCTCAGTCAGCTAAGCATCTGCCTTTGGCTCAGGTCATGATCCCAGGGTCCTGGGATCGAGTCCCACATTGGGCTCCCTGCTCTGCAGGAATCCTGCTTCTCCCTACTTATGTTCCCTCTCTCACTGGGTCTCTTTCTGTCAAGTAAATACGTAAAATCTTAAAAAAATTATAATAATTAGTAAATAAATAAATCTAGAACCATTAATACGCTGAACAACTTTTTCTTCTTGTGGGTCAAAGGTCTCTAGGAGAACCTAGTAAAAACTCTTTCCCAATCCCTAGAAAAAACTGACATGTGTGCCCAGTTGAATACACAAGCACACACAATTTTACTTGCAATTTTAAGGGGTTCACAAATTTCCTAAAATATTTCTGTAGACTTTAAGTATCCCTTAGAACAGATCTACCTTGTTCCAGGGTTGTCGTCCCAGGGGATTCAGAATTGCCCCACGATCTAGGTTGAGGTTTCTAGGCAGCCGTGTTCAGGACACAAATCATCTACTGCCAACTCAGCATAATCAATCCTGCATGGAAATGACAAAGCACCCTCTTTCCCTTCCCAACACCAATTTATACTGAGAAAATTCAAACAGAAAAGATCTGTAATTTAGTACCAAAATACCAGCAGATGAAGAACAGGACCCCAAGAATATTTCATGCCCCTTTTCTGCCTCACTCCCATAGAACCCCAAAGAACCTTAGAAGAGTTGAAAGAAACAGGTAAAAACATCCTAGTCCACTGTGCTCCTTCTTTTTATTCCAAGAAAGGAATCAGTTAAGAGTATCAATTAGCCTTATTCGATGACTTTTCTCCCATATGGGCTTTGAAAACTATCGGTTACCAAGGAAACCATATAACCTCACCCATAATTAAAGACATAAGCAAAACAGGAAGAGAATATTTCCCCCCATAAGACAGTGTAAGTGTTGGCAAGGGTCTGGACAAATGTGTAGTCATGCATAGTTGGTAGGTTTGTAAATCACTACAGTCTTTTGTGATGACAAGACAATGTGACCATTTTTATCAAAAAATATAAAAGCATACACCATTTGATAGGGCAATTTCCTATAGATAATTTTGCAAAGGAGGCCAAGATAGCTGTGCCAATCAAGCTCAAGGCAGCACTGTTTATAATGCCCAAACTGGAAACAAGAAGTCCTGGCTGTTGGATACACCATATAAATGGAATATCATGCAGCCATTCAAAGAATGTGCTAGAGGGGGTGCCTGACTGGCTCAGTCAGTGGGGCATAGGACTGTTGATCTCAGGGTTGAGAGTTCGAGCCCCATGTTGGGTGGAGAGATTACTTAAAAATGAAATCTTAAGGGCCACCTGGGTGGCTCAGATGGTTAAGCATCTGCTTTCAGCTCAGGTCCTGATCCCAGAGTCCTGGGATGGAGCCCCATTGCATGGAAAATTGTGTGTGCTTGTGTGTTCTCCCTCTCCCTCTGCCTGCTGCTCCCCCCAGCTTGTGCTCTCTCTCTGTCTCAAATAAATAAATAAGATCTTAAAAAAAAAAAAAAAAATATAAAAAAAAAAAACATGCTAGATCTGTAAGTGCTGATAGGAATAAAGCTCCAATACATATTATTAATCGAAAAAAGAAGTTGAAAATAGTTCCTTTAGCCTAAAGTTTTTAAAGGATAGGTATACATGCTAGTACATTAAATTATGTTCTGATACATAAGAAACTGTTCATTACAGTTATCTTTGGAGAATATGACTAAAGAACAAGAAGAACCATACTGATGTATAAACATGTAGAAAATATAAGACAGGTAATCTGGAGATGAGATTTTTTCTTTTTTTTTTTTTTCTTCGTTATATTTCTCTAGATAGAAACCTTATATTTAATACATGTTATTTAAAAAATAAAACAATAATCTCACTTTTTTTTTTTTTAAGAAGCCATGTTTAGTGAGGAGGTAAGTAGAAAGGGGGGAGAGCCCAAATACTGAAGAAAAAAAAAAAAAACACGGTAGGAAACTGCTGGGGGTGGGGTAATAGGAGGATTAAAACACTCAACCTCTCCTCTACTCTCAAGACACTGCTACAGCATGCACTGCTCAAGCTTTCCACTAGAAATGAATAGCTCAGGGCCCCACTCCAGTAGCCAGCTATTCGTTACAATGGTAAGTATGGGAGGTAGCAAGCTGGGAGAAGGCTGGCACAGTTAACCCAGTTCCTGCCCTTTGTAATATGGGTAAGGCAGAAGAGCTGTTCTTGAGGCGCTTGGGTGGCTCAGTTGTTGGGTGTCTGCCTTCAGCTCAGGTCATGATCCTGGGGTCCTGGGATCGAGCTCTGGATCAGGCTCCCTGCTTCTCCCTCTCCCACTTCCCCTGCTTGTGTTCCCTCTCTGGCTGTGTCTCAAAGATCTCAAGTGGCAGAGAATGTTACAGCTGAACACAGGGAAACACAGGCAGGGAATGAGTGTCCCCAAGCATACAGTGCAAAGGCACCGTAGGGGTCCCGCCACTATATGAATTTCAGTAGGGGGGAAAGCAAGGGCTGAGTATGTATGTACCAAAGGGTGGGAGAAACCTCTGCTGCCCTACAGAGCCTCAGGGAGCCCTGCTCAACAACAGCAGCACGTCTCTGGCCCATACAGATCTGCGGCAATAGCTGCAGATCCCTGTGACTGCCCCATGGAGAGAATGAGCTAGAACTTAAAATCACCAAGGAAGATAATCTTCTGTACTTAATTGCCTTTTTCATCGAGATCCATGAAATAAATCATAACCTCGCTTACTTTCCATATTCTTCTGCAATACTGCTTTACAAAGAAGGAAGTTACCTCCATGCAGAATTTCCAGAAGAGCGGACAATGCATGTAAAATCTTTTATTAAGCAAAGCTAGCTTTAAGTACAGGTGCCATAAAAAGTTGTCCATGGGCTTTAAGGAACATGAAAAAGCCTCCTACTCACCCCCACCTACACATTTCCCTTCGTGATGCCTGAAATTCTCCCATCAGTGACTTGTATACCATCAGTTGAAGATTGTCTTAAGTGTACTCTTTTAATAATGCAAACAGAAGGGAAAACACATTAGGTCCCTAACACTATAGTGCAGTGGCTCTTAACCTTTATTGTCTTAGCCACTGGTTTCTTTGAGACACTAAAAATAAAACAAAACAAAAAACAAATAAACTCCCTTCACAGAAAAATGCACTTAGATGGGTACATAATATAATTTCCACACAATCTGGCGGATTCACAGTTCTCTCAAAGCCATGTAGAAAACCCCTCCTGCCTGAAGCTAAGAATCCCTGGTTTAGTGGCCAGGAGTTTGACAAATTCTCCTTCTCCAGCTCCTCCATCCCCACTGCAAGAGTTCCCAGGCATCTGGGAAACCCTGGGCTTAAAGACAGAAGGCAGTACTGAAGGGAGGCTCTCATTTATTTGCCTAGAACTGACTTGTCTAGAGTCAGATTACAATTTATGACTCCTTCAGCAAGGAGTGTGGATTTCTCAGACCACCTGTCTCTTGGGGACAGGGCTCCCTTGGCTTCACAGGCACCAGTATATGTGAGGAGATGGCCAACTGAGATCAATGGTCAAACAGGTTCTCATGACCGTGCTGATCACATCACCTGAAAGTTGAGGCAGGGGCAAGTTTTAACACCGTATGAATAAAGGGGGCTCACCTCTGAGGTTTTCGAATATCCCAGAGTCCCACTCCTTCCTTTGAATTGGCTGTGGCCAATAACCTGGGCTCCACAGGGTTAAACATGACACTGTGAAAAGCTGACGGATAGTTTGCCAGGCAGAAGGGCTCTGTGAATAGAGAAATGACAATCAGCCCCCGAGCTCATTCAGTGCCTCTGGGCCAGAGGCAGTCAAAGCAGGAATGTGACCCTGTAGAAACCATCCGAGTAGCTGGAGCCCCAGAGCGGTACATCACCCCAGCAGTCACCCCTGCTCATTCCCTGCACACGCGAAGTCTGAAAACAGCAACTCTATCATATATAAACGAACTAGAAGCTGTAATACCCCGAAACACTGAGTATTCTACCTCTTCAGATCCTGTGACAAGTGGAAACGGTCACAGGAACTGGGAAGCTAAGCTGTTTTACAGTAAGTAAGACTGAATTCCACATGAACTGAAAAAACTCGCAACTGATTACTGATAGGGTTACTGTACCTTCAACTGATTACTGATAGGGTTACTGTACCTTCATCCAAATGTATTAGTTTTAGAAATTAAAAGCTTTTAAAACTACGCAAAGATTTAATGAAGACAAAGCAAAACAATGAGAAAATTGAAGGTGAGGAAAAACAATAGCACAGTGTTCTCTCTAAATTGCTCCCTAAACAATCTAAGAGCCTCAGTCTAGAATTCTATGATTTCATTCCCAGTATTGGAATATTTCAAAAGAAGAAGAAGAAGAAGAAGAAGAAGAAGAAGAAGAAGAAGAGGAGGAGGAGGAGGAGGAGGAGGAGGAGGAGGAGGAGGAGGAGGAAGAAGAAGAAGAAGAAGAAGAAGAAGAAGAAGAAGAAGAAGAAGAAGAAGAAGAAGAAAAGTAAAGAGAAGAAAAGAAAGGAAAAAGGGAACCTAACACCTGAACTCTTACATCCAGCCAGCTCCTCATCAACTTCACTCAGAAACCCTGCAGGCCGCTGCCTGTATTAGCGGGCTCCAGGCGAGGAAGGAATCACTCTGCTACCCAGGACATACTTTTGTGTGGCAAGTGTTTAGAAGCAACAGACAGAAAGCACTGCCCAGTCTAGGATTTCCACATGGGACACAGCAGAGACTCTGGGCAGTCCAGACAGAGGAGGCTTTCCTCCCTAGAACATGGTGACTCAACCCCAGCTGCTCCTTGCAGCTACCTTATCTGCCTGACCCCAGAAACAAGCTTTTCCTATAGCCCCAGTCTCTGTGATGAGGCACAGCCCCGCATGTTAAATGCTCTGACTACAGAATAATAAAAAGATCCAGATCCTGTCAGACAAGACAGGCAGGAGAGTAATTCTGTGTACACAGGTATGACCAAGACAAAGCTGCACTGAAGGTGGGGGCAGGGGGGACACTGAGGGTGATGCTGGAGGAAAGTCATTGAACACAGGCAGAGTTACAGAGTGAACGCTTTTCTCAGGAAACAAACTGAAAAGATGCGTTTCCTGAAAAACTTCAGAGAAATTCAACAAAGCAATTCTTCATTTTATACTTCAGAACCAAAGAGCACACCTAGAGGAGGAACTCACCTGGATAATCCCCCTTAAACGGGGTATATCTGCCATCGTTTTCCGTTTCTATACACAAACACCAGAACACCCCTGTTCTCTGTGAATAACCAAGAACTGTGTGTGTCAGCACCATACGGAGCTGACCCCTGGTAGCTGCCCTCTACAGTGAAGCCCTGCATCTTCTATTCCTTGAGGCCACTGAACACCAACATACGGTGGCGTTTCCAACAGGCCCAAGGGTTTATGGAGGCTCACAAGTGGCTGAGAAGGCCTAAGGTGCCTCACTTCTGGCTTATGCACATGATGGGACGTCTATAAACACACAGCTATGCCCCACCATGAGAGCTGCCTCTCCCTTTCCAACTCTCCCACGCAGGTTACTCAGGTCATAAACTGCCTCTGCAATGAACCTGACATCAAACTCTTCAACACAGTCCAACAGCCCTTTGACCCTACCTCCATGGGGAGACTCCCGGATGTCCCAGATGAGAACCCGGCCATCATCTGAGGAGCTGGCAAAAATGTTGTCATTCACCGGACTCACTGACAAGCCATATACTGCATCTTCGTGAGCAAACACATCCAAGGTCTCGCTGCTGAGAGACAGAGAGCAGAAAGAGGCACACAGGCACACACATGCACACAAAGACTGCAGAGTCCCAGCCCTCAAGTTCCTCACGTAGGGCTCTCCCTCATTTCCAGTAAAAAGTCAATCGAGCAAAACCCAAAGGATATTGTATTTCCTTAAAAAGTAGGTACCCAACTTCCAAGTAAAAAATAAAAATTCATTAGAAAAGCTTTTTATAGATTTCATGGTTTGTTTTTTTGCACTAAATGAGCATAGTTGAAAAAGTGATTCAAGAGATGAGTTTAGTGTTTTCACTTCCTGCGGAATGTATCTGCTTCTGTACAGAGCTGGGGGGTGGTGCTTGATTTTCAAAAACAAGGGAACTTCAAAGCAGTCAGATCTGATATCAGCAGGGGAAGAAGAGGATTGATGTGGCTGTCTGGTATGTGAGCAAGAGCATGGCTCTGGGACCAGAAAGCCCAAGTTCAAATCCCAGTACCACCTGACCCTAAGTTACCTAATTTTCTACACCTCAGTTTCCTCAACCACAATGATACTAGAATAACTTTATAGAATCACTGTGAGGGTGAAACTGATGAACACATGTAAAGCACTTAGAATAGTACCCCACATAAATATTAGTTATTATTATGCTGTTGCTTCCTTCTCTTCCAACCTCTTCCTTTAAATTTTCACCTAAATAGTCTAAGTTCATTCCAACTTTACAAATTCTTTCCTTAATCAAAATTTTATTTCAAAATTATTATAGAAATCTGTTTCAGAAAAGGACAGCTGGCTTCATGTTATTTCCTTCAAAAAACAACTACTTCTGTCTAAAGAGATATTTGCCTTTCTTCATGTGAAAACCGGAGTCAGTCACCTTCACATACCAACAATCTATTTACCTTTCGACATCATGGAGGATAACTTGCTCATCATTTCCTGTAAGGGAGAAAAGTAGACATTTGATAATTCCTGCAAAGTGCTACCTGTCCATATCACAATATGAAATTTTCAAGTTTTCAGAAAGCATATGAACAAAGTCAATGTTAATATAAATTAGGAGTATTAATTAGAAAAAAAAAGTTTTATAAAAATAATTTCAGAAGGATATAAAAGAATTTTTGAAAGCCTAGTAGCAACTAGGTGCTTTCCAAAATGAATTACTAAATGGATTATAGTATATACATATATATCTATATATACATATATAGATATATATGTATATATATATATATGACATAAAAAAAAACAAAAAAAACTGTGGCCATTAAGAAACATAAAAGAGTAAATGATCGTGGGCAAATTAATTCATCCAAGCTAGCTTTTTTTTTTTTTTAAGCAAAACAACTGTGAGACTTAGAATACAGATAACCTATGCCTCAATTTGTTTAATCTATAAAATAGGGATAATTATACCTACTTCATAGGGTCATTGCGAAGGTAAGAGTACATTCGCGAAACCATTCAGAATAGGACCGAGCACTTAGTAAGCGCCTAATAAATATCTCCTGCTATTCATATCCTTATCATCTCACAACATTAAAATCTGATGATTGTCTGATTATAAGTGATGGGAAAATTTTTATCCACAACTTCTTTCTATTGCATTTTTCTTTATTCCATCAAGGAATCTAAAAATACTACATTCACAATATGTGTAGTCCTGCCTTCAAAGGGCTTATATAACCAAACATAAAAACCTGAATATGAAAAGACAAAAGTAAAAAAATTCCCACTCTACACTGAAAGCACAACCAACAGTCACTTCAATAGAAAGTAACAGTAGCAGTAGAGATGTGGCCCGGGACGTCCTAGATCTCTGGCTATAAACTCTATTGTGGGTGCATACCAAGAAATCAAACCCAGACTAATGCCTCCTAGGTAACAGGCACAGCTGAGGTGCTGGGGATACTAGAAGAGGAAGAGGAAGATTCTGCCTGGCTCTCAAGAACTTCCAGTCCATCTGTGCAACAACTAATAATGACAAAATGAGTTATCATGTTGTAGTGATATGCTCTATAATGGGGACACAGAAAAAGCAAATAGTATTTCCTTCAGGAGTGGGTTTGAAAGTACATGGCAGAAAAGGAGAACGTTTTTATGGGGAAGAAGATATCTGAACAGAAACTCCAATAACTCAAAACTCTTACCAGTGGAAGACTTAGGGGAATTAGGGGGGACTGGACAATTAATCATGATCCATGAAGGAAGAGCAAGAGCAAATGATACAAGGGCACCTAAGATGGCTAGTGGTTTAGTGGGCTAGAGTACAAGATGCTGGGGAGGGAAATGAGGCTCGAGAAGTAGAAGTTTACACTTCATCCTGAGGACAATGTAGGGTCAGAGGCTGACACGGTTCAACTCTATTTTTAAAAGAAAACTTGTAATAAATAAGGAGAGTTACAGATAGGTTGCAGAAATCACAAAGACCACTGCAACAGTCCGGATCAAAGATAAGGACCTGAACCAGGGCAGTAGGTACAAAAACAGAACAGAAACTAAAGGATGAATATGAGAAGCTTTCAAGTCTAGTTGGTGAGTGACAAGATACGTAAATGAAAGAAAGGAAGGTTTGAGGATGACTTCAAGATTTCTACTTCTATGTAGAAGTGTCATTTTTATAGTTAAAAGTGCTTCAATATTAGCAATTTCTGAAAGTTAAATTTAATAGCTTAAATCATTAAGTGAATGCTGATAGTAACTGAGAAAAGGAATCCAGGGAACAAGAGGAAATATTTGTACAGGAGGGAAACTAATACTCTTGGCTTTAGATCTGCTGCACTTAAATTGCTTTTAGAACACATAGCTAGATATTCCATGGCAAAATTTGCAGTGCAGAAGAGAGGTCAGAACTAGAAATGTTGTGGTCAGAAAGGAGTGTGGTTGATACAGGACCACCGAGAGGCTGGCTTGAGCCCAAGCCATTCTAATGGTACCCTAACACAACGTTTTTTGAACAGGAGCCATCCATGGATCAGGACATCAATTTGAGTCACAAACTTTAAGTTCTTTAAGAATAAAGTAGCATTTTTTAAAAATCAAAATGTACCACACATAGTAAGGTTAAGTACTATTTTAAATATGTGTGTGTGTTTCTGCATGCCAGACTGCAATGTAGGACGTTTTCTACCAAAAACAAAAAATGACAGTGAAGAATCAAAAGAACAGAGGGAAGGAAGGAAGGAGGGGAGGAAGGAAGGAAGGGAGGAGGGGAGGAAGGAAGGGAGGGAGGGAGGAACTGCGCTCATATACCTGTCTAAACTGCTGTAATGCAGAAAAGACAAGCTATGGGAAACCAGTAATCCTACAGCTCAGTGAAATAAAGAAAAACAAGGAGTTATTTTAGCACTCCTTTATCTAAAATCTCAGCCACGGTGAATTGCCCAAAGTAGAAATCTCCCTTCTCCTCACCTCCAGAGAATACTTTGGTGTTCCCACTGTTGAAAGCCAGGCAAAAAATGTTGGAATGGTGCTCTCCTTTCAGCTGTATGGGCTTGACTCTGGAGTGGATAGCTTGTTCCATGTGCCATAGCAGAACCCGGCGGTCATCTCCTCCTTGAGAGGGGAGTTAAGAATCTAGGGTTAAAATGGCTGACACTTAAGGCTGACACTCAGTTTTGCCAGCCCTGAATCCCATCCTTTCTAAAACTGCAACTCCCCAATTCTGTAAGATTCTCATGGGGCACATAAACCCAGGACTCTACCCCCTTAACCATCAGTAGACACACGATCTCTAAGCCACTCACTTTTCCCCAGAAAAACTTGGACATATAGAAATGGAAAGGGATAAACAATGATATTGAAACCCTCTGAGCCACCCTGGTGCTCCAAGTGAAGAAATATTTAAACAACTGAGTCTCTGGAAAGTCAGGAATAGGGTGGCTCAGTTGGTTAAGCATCTGCCTTTGGCTCAGGTCTGGGATAGAGCCCTGCATCGGGCTCCCTGCTCAATGGAAAGCCTGCTTCTCCCTCTCCCTCTGCTGCTCCCCATGCTCGTGCTTTCTCTCTAATAAATAAATAACATCTTTAAAACTTTTTTAAATAAATATTTCTTCACTTGCTACCTAAAAATCCTTCTATAATGCCCCCCCATTTTAAAAAAATATATATTTTATTTATTTATTTGACAGAGAGATAGAGAGCACAAGTAGGCAGAGTGGCAGGCAGAAGGAGAGGGAGAAGCAGGCTCTCTGCTGAGCAGGGAGCCTGACCTGGGACTCTATCCCAGGACCTGACATCATGACCTGAGCCCAAGGCAGCTGCTTGACTGACTGAGCCACCCAGGCACCCCCCCCACCACCACCACCATTTTTTGTCTAACAGAAGCTGAGCTGGTTTCTAATGCTTGCAACCAAAGAACTCCACATTAATACTTCTAGCATACTAGTATTCTCTCCTTGATGTGACCTCATTGACTATAGGACAGCATGCAAGTGACAACTAAGGAATTGCCGGCCCCAGCACCATCTAGACAGAGCCTAGCTCTCATGAAGGGAGGGCCAGCTCTTCCCTCTGCATAACTCACTATCATCTGAATTAAATGAGCAGTATTATGCTGCATGAGCCAGCTTCTAAGAATGAGAATATGTATATTCTGTGTATTTTTTATATTTGCAGATGCATTAAAAATGTCTGAAAGATGAGTAACTTTCAAGTGTTAACAATGATTAACAGTGGTAACTATTTTCAGGGAACAGGATTAAAAGAGGGGGAAAAAAAGGATTGGAGGGTTTTTACTTTTATTTGATATATTTGGCACTGACTTTTTACAAGCCTATACTATTCTCCCAATAAAAATTTAAGTTACAAAAGGGGCAAACACGAGCAGCAAACCACAGCTCTCTGTACCTCTTCTTTCCCTCCTCCATTCCATCCGACAGCCACAAATTATAGCACATCCCTATAAGGGCATACCGTGCAGCCATGAAATCAGTAAATCTGTAAGAACTATCTTGGAAATGTGTCCGTCTTTATTAAGGGGAAATGTAAGGTATAAAACAATATGTGTATCAAACTCCATTTTGTGTAAAACAAAATTTTAAAAAGCTCCGTGACTGAAGGAACTTTGTCAATTTTGTACACTGCGGAGTCTCCAAAACCTAACTGAGTGCCCCCAAAGAGCAGACTTTGAATTAACATGTTCATATTTGCACATATATGCTTAGATTCTCCTACTTATCTGGCTATTATAAAAATTGCTTATAGTGGGGGCACCTGGATGGCTCAGTGGGTTAAAGCCTCTGCCTTCGGTTCAGGTCATGATCCCAGGGTCCTGGGATCGAGCCCCATATCAGGCTCTCTGTTCAGCAGGGAGTCTGCTTCCTCCTCTCTCTCTCTGCCTGCCTCTCTGCCTACTTGTGATCTCTGTCTGTCAAATAAATAAATAAAATCTTTAAAAAAAAAATTGTTTATAGTGGACACCACCTCCAGGCTAGAGTTGGGAAACTTTTTTAATGTGGAAAATTTACATATAATGTGAAATTTACCATTCTAACCATTTTTAACTATACAATTCAGTGTATCTGCACTATTGTGCAACCATCACCACTGTCCATTCCCAGAATCTTCACATCATCCCAAAATGAAACTCTGTACCCAATAAACAGTAAATTCTCCCATCCCCAGTAACCACCACTCTCCTTTCTGCCTCTATGAATTTAACTGTTCTAGGTAACTCATGTAAGTGGAATCATACAGTAGTTGTCTTTTTTATTCATTTTGCATAATATCTTCAAAGATCATCCATATTGTAGCATGTATCAGAATTCCACTCTTTTTTGAGGCTAAATAATATTCTGTTATACACACTTACACACACCATATTTTGTTTATCCATGTATCAACTGATGGACATCTGGGTTGTTTCCACCTTTTGGCTATTCTGAATAATGTTGCTAACAACACGGATATACAAGTATCTATTCAAGTCCCTGCTTTTAATTCTTTGGGGATTCTTTTAATTCTTTTGGGAAACTTTTATATTTTAATTATTACTTTATACCTTCTTGTAGTACTTGACTTTTTGTCATAAACATATTTCCTTTTATAATAATAAAAAAAAAAACAAAGACGATACAGTAGCTAAGTCAAAGTTATTCTCCCTCCCCTAGAAAGAAGTTGCCTTTGCTCCTTCGGTTCCTTCTTTGTCAAAATCAAGTTCTATGTCCCCCTCCCCCTTCACTGTCTACCAAACTGAACCCTTTAGTGTGGCTCAGTTCCTGTATTTATGATTTGCCTGTTTCAACCATGAGTTCTCTGGCCTGGGATGTTTATCTAAAAATTTTGTATCTTGAGGCGCCTGGTTGTTTTAGTCAGTGGAGAATGCGATTCTTGATTTCAGGGTTGTGAGTTCAAGCTCCACGTTGGGTGCAGAGATTACTTTAAAAAAAAAAAAAAACTTAAGAAAAATTCTATATCTCTTTTAAGTTAAAGTCATAAAAATAAAAGTGTGTGTTTTTGTTTTATTTTAATGAATAATGACACAAAGGAATTTTTTAAACTATTAATAGATTCTTTTTTTTTTTTAAAGATTTTATTTATTTATTTGACAGAGAGAGATCACAGTAGACAGAGGCAGGCAGAGAGAGAGAGAGGGAAGCAGGCTCCCTGCTGAGCAGAGAGCCCCATATGGGACTCAATCCCAGAACCCTGAGATCATGACCCGAGCCGAAGGCAGCAGCTTAACCTGCTGAGCCACCCAGGTGCCGCAACTATTAATAGATTCTTAACAGGCAGTGGGCACTTTAGTTCTCCATAGTTCTACTCTTACTGTTTTCCCCCAACACTGAGGCATGACTTTTGCTACTGTGTATCCTATATTGCAGAAGTATTTCTCTGTACCCATGTCTCTACCAAAAGTGTAAAATTAAAAGATAAAAAGGCCCACATGTTTCTTCTACTTACTCATGTTTCTAATCTAATCTCTCTGAGCCTGAGTTTCATCAAATATAAAATGGGGATCATAACAGCTCTACCCTTAAGGGTTTTATAGATTATAAAGCCAAGTATACAAGAGGGTTAAGTAACTTACCATGGTCACACACATTAACTAATGTGGTTGAGCTAAGATTCAAAAGCAAACAGTTAAGACTCTACAGTCACCATTCTTTTTTAAGATTTTACTAATTTATTTGACAGAGAGAACACAAGTAGGCAGAGAGGCACACAGAGAGAGAAGGAGGAGCAGACTCTCTGCTGAGCAGGGAGCCCGATGTGATGCTGGGATCAATCCCAGGACCCTGGGATCATGACCTGAGCCAAAGGCAGACGCTTAACTGACTGAGACACCCAGGCACCCCTAAAGCCTCCATTCTTAACCACTACTCTGGGTTGCCTACCTTACAGAACCAAAAATAAACCGTAAATGAGAAAGCGGTTCATCTAATGGACAACTAAAGGGATCCTCCATCTTGGTAACATAACTCAAAAATGTGTAGGTTAGAATAGAACAAGGGAGCATAGGAATAAAAATAGAAGCTGACTAAACTGGAGTAAACTAAGGGGCCAGGAACAGGGAGGGACCAGGAGAAGACAGCCTGAGTTGAAAGATTCTAACAATACACAAAACTGACAATGGCTTAGGAGCCAAATTATTCAAAGAATTACTACGAATCAATTCTTAAAACCATTAGGAAAAGAGGCAAATATGACAATTCACAGAAGAGAAAATCCATATAGCCAAAAAATGTAACAGAGCATCTCAACCTCTAAAGTGATCAGGGGAGGGGCGCCTGGGTGGCTCAGTGGGTTAAGCGTCTGCATTCGGCTCAGGTCATGATCCCAGGGTCCTGGGACAGAGCCCCGCATTGGGCTCCCTGCTCAGCGGGGAGCCTACTTCCTCCCCTCTCTCTGTCTGCCTCTCTGCCTACTTGTGATCTCTGTCAAATAAATAAATAAAATCTTTTAAAAAATAATCAGGGGATATAAAAAATAAAATTAAGAAAAAATAATCAGGGGAATGCATATTATAACTTAAATACATTCTTACAAAAGTGGCACAAGGAAATGCACAAGAATGTTCACTGCATCCCTGTTTATAGTAGCAAAAAGCAAACAAACCTGTGGACAACCTAAGTATTCACTAATATATAAATTAGTAAGTTCCACTGAACACAAATACAAATTAAATCAAACCAAATAGAACACCATACAGCAGTTAAAATGAACTAGAAATATGTGTAACAACATGAGTAAATCTTGAAAACCTAATGGTAAGTAATAAAGTTTCAGAAGGATATGTAAAAGATAACATTAAGTTTATATTTTTAAATATACAAATACCATAAATTGTAGATAAACACATCTAGTAAAAGGGGACTTCGACTGTATCTGCGAAGTTTTGTTTCTTAAGAAAAAAAAGGCTACAAGCAAATTTAATAAACTGTCAACATTCTGTCAAACCCAATTACTTTTTTTGCTTTTTTAATTAATTTTTTTAAATTTCAGTATATTTAACATACAGTATTATATTAGTTGCAGGTGTACAATATAGCAATTCAACAATTCTATACATTACTCAGTGCTCATCTCTCTACTTTTGTTTTATGTTATTAAGG